CGGGGGAAAGGAGGAGGAGTGAGGAGCGGCGCGCTGCCGCCCCTCGACACAGGGAAGACAGGGAGGAGCAGGTGAGGCTGAAGGGAAGGAGAGGGAGCACCCTGGGAAGACCAGCAACAAGGTCCCGTTTGTGCATGGCCCGAAGGCGCTGCACAGACGGGTGACCAAGGCGGTGGTGCCAAAGGACAGTCTCATGCGCCAGAGAGCGACACGAGCAGGGGGCGGACAGCTGACCTGACGCAGACGCAGACGTAGACGCAGACGCAGCTACCTGAGGGGACTCAGTGGTCAGTGTGTACAGGTCCGACCCCGGCTCTCGAGTGAAAGTAGCCAGGTGGCGACCCGTCCGAGCACACGTGCAGTGTGTCACGCGCTCGTAGGCAGGGGTGAACTGGTGAACACCCGAGTCCTGGAGCGCACAACCCGCCACCAAGTTCGTAGAGAACGAGGGGAGGTAGAGACCTGACAGCGTGCCAGACGGGACCGCAGGACAAGGAAGGACAGTGGAGGAGGTCGCAATGACCGGACCCCCAGAGGGGTCAGCAAGGGAGACAGCAACTGGCCGAGCGAGTGGCTCAAGGACAGTGCGGTCACGAAAGAAGGAGCGAGAAGCACCTGAGTCCAGGGTGAAGGTGTGCAGTGCTGCAGTCGACTCAGTACCAGGGGGCACAGACGCACTAGCACCTAGGGCAGCAGCCTCACCATCACCTGGGGTAGCAGACACGCGAGCACCTGGAGCAGCAGACGCACGAGTACCGGGAGTGGTAGCCTCACCTGCACCGAGGGCAACAGACGTACTGGCACCGAGAGCGGCTGCCTCACTCACAGAGCGACTACCACTACGGCCACCCCGACTGCTCAAACCGGCGTACCACTCACGAGCCTGCTGGAGCAGAAGAGGGCACGGCTGCTGCACCTGTCCACTACCTGAGGCTCCCGAACGACGGACGCCAGAGCGACTACCACTACGGCCACCCCGACTGCTCAAACCGGCGTACCACTCACGAGCCTGCTGGACCAGAAGAGGGCACGGCTGCTGCACCTGTCCACTACCAGGGGCTCCCGAACGACGCACGCCAGAGCGACTACCACGCCGGCCACCCCGACTGCCCAAACCGGCGTACCACTCACGAGCCTGCTGGAGCAGAAGAGGGCACGTCTGCTGCACCGGTCTACTACCAGAGGCTCCCGAACGACGCACTCCAGAGCGACTACCACTACGGCCACCCCGACTGCCCAAGCCGGCGTACCACTCACGAGCCTGCTGGAGCTGCATCTGGCCACGTCAGGAGCAGCAGTAGTAGCGGCAGCAACAGCAGGAGCAGTAAAGGCAGTAGCAGCAGCAGTAACGGTAGCAGTGCTAGCAGGGCAAAGCTCACCAGTGGTTGGTGCGGCGGGCGCAAGACAGTGGCGACAGCGTGGCCGCTGCAACAGCGGGGCGGGGCCAGGTCGTAGCAGGGAGCTCCGCGGCAGCTGCTGCAGGGTCGGCGGCGGCCGCTGCTGTAGGCTCGGCGGCGGCAGCTGCTGCAGGTCGAGCGGCGGCTGCTGCTGCAGGGTCGGCGGCGGCCGCTGCTGTAGGCTCGGCGGCGGCTGCTGCTGCAGGGTCGGCGGCGGCCGCTGCTGTAGGCTCGGCGGCGGCAGCTGCTGCAGGTCGAGCGGCGGCTGCTGCTGCAAGCTCGGCGGCGGCAGCTGCTGCAGGTCGAGCGGCGGCTGCTGCTGCAGGCTCGGCGGCGGCAGCTGCTGCAGGTCGGCGGCGGCTGCTGCTGCAGGCTCGGCGGCGGCAGCTGCTGCAGGTCGGCGGCGGCTGCTGCTGCAGGTTCGGTGGCGGCAGCTGCTGCAGGGAAAGGCGACGACGCCACTGGAAAGGCGACGCGGCGGGCGGCGAGAGCCTGCAGCGGCGGGCAGCTCGCGGGCAGTGCGCGGAGCCGCACAAGGCTGCGACGGGTCGCGTGACAAACCCTAAGCCGCGCGCGGGCGGCTAGCAGGTCACGCGCACGAAGAATCGGCCGCGCGCGGGCGGCTAGCGAGGCGCGCGCGCGAAAAATCGGCCGCGCACGGGCGGCTAGCGAGTCGCGCGCGTTAAAAACGAGCCGCGCGCGGGTGGCTAGCGGGCTGCGTGCGCGCGGTAGGTAGAGGCGCACGAGGGCGCGCGGTAGGTAGAGGCGCACGAGGGCGCTAAGGCGCACGAGGGCGTGCGGTAGGTAGAGGCGCACAAGGGCGCTAAGGCGCACGAGGGCGCGCGGTAGGTAGAGGCGCACGAGGGCGCTCGGTAGTGAGAGGCGCACGAGGGCGCACGAGGGCGCACGATAGGTAGGTAGGTAGGTAGGTAGCGGTGGGCCCTAGGAGCGGTCCTAGCAAAGGACCTGCTCTGATACCATGTCAGAATGAACAGGCAGGAATGAGGAACTAGAAAGGATGGTGAGTACAAAAAATGAAACCCTAATGTTGTGACCCCCCTATAGGCTAACCCACTACAGCCTACACAAACACAACATATATAATGTTTGACAGCACGAAACAAAACCATCCTCACCGGAAAATGGGTCTTCCGCGTGAAGACGAAAGCAGATGGCACCATCGACAAATTCAAGGCGCGCTGGGTCGTACGCGGCTTCGACCAAGAGCACGGACGCGACTTCACCGAAACCTTTGCTCCGGTCAGCCGACACACCTCACTACGCATTCTCCTCGCAATCGCCGCCATGAAGAAGAAAAAGCTACGACAAATCGACGTCGCAAACGCCTTTCTCTACGCACCTGTTGACGCAGAAATTTTTGTGGAGCTGCCGCACGGCTCCAACACAGATTCCACGCATGTCTGCCAGCTGCTCAAGTCGCTTTACGGAATCAAACAGGCCCCGCGACTATGGCAGCAATACCTGCACGCTCGTCTCATCCGCATCGGCTTCAAGCAACTCCCGCACGACCAAGGCATGTAATCGTCCTGTTAATCGTCCTGTTAATCGTCTAAGAACAACGACTACGTCCTGTTAATCGTCTACGTGGACGATCTCCTCTACATCGGGTCAACCGACAGCATCGCAACCTGGTTCGAAGGGGAGCTGCAGAAAGACCTCACACTTACGGTCTCGTCTACCGTCACACAGTACCTCGGCCTCAACATCCGAGAAGAAGAAGATGCGATCTATCTCAGCGCCGAGAAATACGCCGACACTATCGCTAAACGCTTCGCTCTCACACCAGCCGCCATCTCCACGCCATACCGCTACACGACAGGAACCGAGAAGGGACGATCCACTCTACTCAAACCAGCCGGCATACGCGACTATCAGAGGAAGCTCGGATGCCTCCTCTTCGCAGCCGTCACATGCCGTCCCGACCTCTCATACTCCGCAAGTCAACTCGCCACCTACCTCAAGAAGCCTGAAACAGAACATCTGGCGGAACTTGACCGCGCTCTTCACTACTTCATCAGCACCGCGACGATCGGCCTAACCTACCACAAGAACGCAGCTACACCAACTAAGCTAATCGGCTATGTCGACGCCGATCACGCCGGCGACTCCGACAACAGGCGCTCACGTACCGGCTACGCCTACCGCCTCGAACCTATCGGACCTATTTCCTGGCAGTCGAGCAAGCAGGAGCTAATCGCGCTATCATCAGCTGAGGCAGAATATATCGCACTCTGCTCAGCCACCAAGGAAGGCCTTTATCTCCGCGAGCTGCTGGAAGAAGCAAAGTTAGCTGAGTTACCCAACTTCACCCTGTTCTGCGACAACCAGTCTGCAATTCGCATCGCCAACAAGAACGGCTTCGCGAACAGGACGAAACACATCGCCCTGCGCTACTTCTTCGTGAAGGACGAGATCGAGAAGGGGAGACTTCAGCTGTCATACTGTCCCACGTCCGAGATGGCAGCCGATTATTTGACCAAGAAACTCGGAAAGCAGAAATTCGAGTACTGCATGCTGCTGACTGGACAGAGCCACGTCATCAGCAACGACACTCCAGAAGCGAAGGGGAGTGTTGGAAATAGTGAATCTTAAGCGCTTCAGTCGTGTCGAAACATCGCACCAGAAGCGAAGCAAGCTGTATCGAAACAAACGCGAGTCAACCTTCGGAGGTTGAGAAGTTGCCGGAGGTTACGCGAAAGTCAAAGGTCAAGCGACCTTTGACCTGACAAATACAGCGCGACAGTTAAGGACACACAACTGACTCGTTACAGAGCAGTTGCCCGAGTCGTACTGTATCGAACCGCAACAGCAACAGTAAAGTAGTTACAAACTGCATCCTTTCATATTCCTTGTATTATTATATAATCTTGTACTTCCTTGCTATAATCAATCTACTTTGCCCTCATATACCAGCGCAAGGTGGTTCACAAACTTTGTTAAACGCTTCCGCTATTACAACACTATCCCACCCAGAGTTCTCCCTTGAAAAGATCCTAAGGGGCTATCTCAGCCCAACATAGGTGACATTGTTAATGTCGAGGTGCTGGCGCATTACTTCTGTAGTTCTTGTAATGTCACCTGTATGAAATGGTGAAAAAGTTATCATTTTTTGCCGACTAAAACACCCCCCCAGGGTCTTAAAGAGAATCAGCCAAAAAGGGGGGTATAGTAGAAACGAGGTCGCCCATAGCACCCACCCCGCACAAGCTACCCGGGGGTGCTCTATCATGGGGGGGTGTTTTGTCTAGGAGAATACGGTATCTGGGAAAATCTTTATTCAGATGAGAATCACGAAGGACAACAAACACAGCCAGCACAGCAGTCCTCATGCAGGTTGTGTTCCTACGTCGTGCCAACCACCGATACAGGCCTTGATACGGCCAATCAGAGCCACGTGGTGACTGATACGGGGTAGGAACGCATCCTTCGGCACAACAATGATTTGCCCGTGTAACAATGTGCCACCCTAAGCTGCCCCACACGGGGAAGGGCAGGAATCACTGCCAAGCCAACAGCTGACACGCAGCGGGCAGCAGCAGCCCAAGGAGCGGAGTGGAGGCGGCTGGCCTGGTGACAGCGGAGTCATGCTGCCTGCATTGCTGCCAACGATGAGTAGTCGTATTGCTCTGATGTGGGCCATGGCATGGGGGGTTTAGGAGGGAAAGGATGGATGAGCAGACAATACCGAGTGAGGCGCGAGGAGAGGTGGGGTGACAAGAGGAAAGGAGAGGGGTGACAAGAGGAAAAGAGAGGAGAGACAAGGAGAGGAGAGAAAAGGTGAGGAGCGAGAGGAAAGGAGATGAAAGGAGAGATGGGATAGGCGAAGAGAGGCGAGGCGAGGCGAGGCAACGAGAGGAGTGCACAGGAGACTAGAGGACTCGAGGTTCATGGGTGCAGCAAGGTACCAGCCCCACACAATCACAGCCCTGGGCACTCACAGCCGACAGGCCAAAGACTTCCCCCCAGGCACTCACTGGAGGCCTTGCTGCAGGAGGCGGAGCCGAGGTTGCCCCAGTCGGACGCGGAGACGCAACCCCTGAGGCAGGCGACGGTGTAGGGCGCGGTGGTGCTGGCGTGGTAGTGGTAGAACGCCGGCTCGCCCCCACTGCCGTCGCCCACGTGCCCCCCACACTCGTCCACCCCTGCCGGCAGCGCTCCCCCCTCTCCGCGCGGGCCGAACAGCGGAATGCCGTCCGCCAGGAAGCCCAGCAGCGGCGAGTGCTGCCCCGGGGTGTCCTGCCAGAACGACGCGCTGCAAAGGAGGGGGGGGGGAGGGGGAGCACAGGAGGGAGAGAAGTGAGGATGGATGGTTGCGATGCGCGGAATGCTACGAGGTGAATGGCATGAGGCAGTGGATGGCATGAGGCAGTGGATGGCATGAGGCAGTGGATGGCAGTGGATGGCAGTGGATGGCAGTGGATGGCAGTGGATGGCAGTGGATGGCGCATGGAACATGGCGGCTATGGAAGGAGGAGAGGTTGCAGGTGGAGAACGGGGGAGCAGGAGAACAAGGAAGCGGGAAAAGAGGGGAATGGAGAACGCACTTGCAGAGGTTGAAGTCGGTGGAGCGAGATGAGGAGATGGCAGAGGGGTTGGCGACGCCAGGAGCAACGTGGTAGTGGTACTGGCCAGAAGGCGTGGGGTGCCCCCCACACGCGTCAAACGTGGACCCCTCGTACTGCAGCGCGTCCCGCCCCAGGGCGTCACACGCACTGCGCGGGGGAGAGGGAAAGGGAGAGACGGGTATGGATATGAGGGCGTGAGGTGTGCAGGGAGAGTGATGAGGGCAGGGGCGAGGAGGGCGTGAGGTGGAAGGTGCAGCCGCAAGGGCAGGAGCAGGCAAGCAGCAGAGCAGAATGGGGGTGGAACAGTGGGAAACGAGATGCTGTTGGGAATCGAACCCTCAAGTCCTTGTCACGCCGGTACCCCCCTCCTGCCCCTAACCTCTCCCCCCACTATACCGAGACCCCACTGATCCATCTTCCATGCTGCCCCCACAGCATTCCAACCCCCCCACTGCCCCGTCCCCCTCCTCTTCACCTGTAGAAGGGTACGCCGTTGAGCGCGAAGCCGATGGGCCCCATCTTGCAGACACCGTTGAGGGCGACGGGAGTGGCGGATGAGGCGAGCATGGGGGCGAGTGGCACGGCGAAAGAGAGCGCCTGCTGCAGGGTAGCGTACAGCGTGGCCTTCACCCGCCATGCGTACCCCGGACACCCGTTGCTTGACATCACCCTGCCATCACACGGCAGGGGGGACAGAGCAAGGGGAAACAGGGCAGGGGGGACAGGGAAAGGGGAAACAGGGCAGGGGGAACAAGGCAGGAGGGCTAGGGTGAGGGAAAGGAGGAAGGGGGGCAAGAAGAGCAGACATGAGCGCACGAAATGGCTTCATCGGGCGTGCAGAGTGGCAGAGTAAAGGGTGGCCACACCTCTTGCCATTGCTGCTCGTGAGCTTGGCGCTCCTGCTGCTGCTGCTGTTGCCACACGCACTCCCACCCGATGACCCACTGCCACCCCCCATGCCTCCTCCGAAGCCCATGCCTCCGCCGCCCATGCCTCCTCCGCCGCCCATGCCTCCGCCGCCCATGCCTCCTCCGCCCATCCCCCCTCCGCTCATGCTTCCTCCGCTCATGCTTCCTCCACTCATGCTTCCTCCGCCCAAGCTTCCTCCACCCATGCCGCCTCCGCCCATACCTCCCCCGCCCATTCCCCCTCCGCCCATGCTTCCTCTGCCCATGCCTCCTCCGCCCATGCCTCCCCCGCCCATGTTTCCTCCGCCCATGCTGCCTCCGCCCATACCTCCCCCGCCCATTCCCCCTCCGCCCATGCCTCCCGCGCCCATGTTTCCTCCGCCCAAGCTTCCTCCACCCATGCCGCCTCCGCCCATACCTCCCCCGCCCATTCCCCCTCCGCCCATGCTTCCGCCGCCCATGCCTCCTCCGCCCATGCCTCCCCCACCCATGGTTCCTCCGCCCATGCTGCCTCCGCCCATACCTCCCCCGCCCGTCCCCCCTCCGCCCGCACTACCCGGTTGTCCGCTCATCCCGCCACTTCCTTGCGAGCCAAACCCGCCCTGCCCGCTCTGCCCGCCGCTCGTCGCGCCACTTCCGCCACCGCCGCCGGTAGGGGGGCGGCGGAAGAAGGACCAGCTTCCGCCTGTCCCCGATCCGCCCACCAACCCGCCGAACCTTCCCGCGAAACGCGGAAGGCCGAGCGAGCGAGCGCTGCACGCGGCGTGATCGACGGCCGCGAAGCAGAGCAGCGCGACGAGTGCGAGGGCGAGGACGACACGGGACGACGAGAGGCGACGCGTCATCATGGCGGGCGGCGCGGAACGCCAAAAGAATCTCGCGTAACTAGAAAAGGTTCCGAGGAGTGTCGGAGGTGCAACGGATTGAACCTCGTTTCACGGTGAATGCAAGGCGAATGCAAGCAGGCTGAAAGGTAGCGCTGAGGATTGTGTCCAGGGAGGTCGCTATTTGTACCTCCACTGCCATCGCCGCCGCCGCCATGAGCCCAAGACGCTCGACGTGCGCGCATTAGGAGAAATCGATGCGTTGGTTGACTGTTGGGACGAGGAGGTGGATCTCAGAGTCAACGCAAATCCAGTCAACGTTGAAATGATGGGCAAGTGCAGGCGAGACCAGCGGATGTGTTGACTGACGCTTGGGCGAAAGTCGCCGAGAGGATGAGCGAGTCAGCATCGTGGTCTTTGTGCTTCTAGCGAATGACTGGTTTTTGATATGGGTTAAACATCATAACACTCTGAACCAGAGTAGCCCAGATAAGGGCGGACCATAGTAGGTTCAGTTTTTGTTCAATAGAAGCGGTGAGAGGCTCTTACGAGTGCAATTGAGCGAGCGAGAATTGCACTATCGAAGCAAAACAGTACAATGAGCGAAGGGATGAGCGAGGACTAAATAGCGAAGGCCACAGTGGTAACGAACTGTGGGTAATTCGCGACGGGTCTGGGACTGAGGTCGGGGAGTGTCGAGGCGGAGGCCCGGAGCGCGGGTTACCAGCCGAGCTGTGGGGTTGGGGTGTGACGGGCGAGGTGGCGGAAAAATGTCGAGGCGAATGCCGCGAGTGGTAACGGTGGCGACTGTGGCGAGTACAGTGATGTACGCGCTAAGCAGGGATGCGGCGTAAGGGAATGGAAATTTCCTTACACTACCCCCCCCCCAAAAAGAAGGCCCTCCTTACGAGAGTGCGTGTACATCTCGGAAATTGCGGCTGCGCAGTTAGTCGGTGAGGACGGGGTGGTTTTCTATTTTGTCCAGGGGTACCCAGTTGTTTTCAATCGGGGTGCGATCTTTCCAGCGAATCAGGAACTCGATCCTGCCAGCTCCATGTGGGTCACGTACGCGGTGGCTTAGGATTTTCTCGGCGGTGATCACTGGTTCGATGGGTGGTCGGGTCATGCTGGCTGGGCGGTGGCGAGGCAATTGGCTTGTGGAGCGGACGCAGGGGCGAAGAAGGCTGACGTGGAATGATGGGCTGACATACCAGTCAGCAGGGAGGCGGAGGTGTGCGGTTACGGGGGTGATCATGTGGCTTATTCAAAATGACCCGCAGTATCGGGGGCGGAGTTTTGGGGTGATGGGCAGGCGGAGGTTTTGGGTGTTGAGTAGTACTAGGTCGTCAGGTTGGTAAGTAACGGGACGGCGGTGGCGATCGGCGTTGCGTTTAGTGATGACGTTTGATTTTTTTATTGCGTCTGCTGCCCTGGTTCGTGCTGCCTGTAGGATTTCGGCGAACTGTTGTGCACGTGGGATGGGGTTGTCGGGGTTCGGGGTCATGGGTACTGTGGGGTCTTGTCCGTAATTTAGGTAAAATGGTGACTGTTGGGTCGTGGCGGATGGCGAGTTGTTGTATGCAAACTCGATGAGTGGCAGTTGCTGTTCCCAGGTGCCGGGATCTTCGCACGTGGCTCGGATGAGCTGTTCCATGGTCTGGTTTGTTCGTTCGGTCTGTCCGTCGGTCTCGGGGTGGTACGAAGAACTAAACTGTAGCCGTGTGTCGAACTGCTGCCACAGGTTCCGCCAGAAGTTGCTGGTGAATTTCGTGTCCCTATCGCTAATGATTGCTGTTGGTATCCCGTGTAATCGAACGACGGTGGTGATGAAGAGCCGAGCTGTTTCTTCGGCTGAGATGGATTTCTTGCACGCTGCGAATGCGCCATCTTCGTCAACCGATCAACGACGACCAGGATCACATCGTTCCCACTTGCCCCAGCCGGTAACCCCGTGACGAAGTCCATCGTCACCTGCTGCCAAGCACGCTCTGGGGGTGGTATCGGCTGCAACTGCCCTGCCGGTCGCTTCCGTGACGATTTCATGAGTTGGCAGGTGGGACACGATGCCACGTGTCGCTGTACGTCGGTCAACATTTCGGGCCAGTAATAATACCGCTGCAGCTGCTGCCGTGTTTTTTCTACCCCGAAATGACCTGAGGTAACGCCGTCGTGTGCTTCCTGTAGTAATAGCTCCCTTAGCAGAGTGCACCCCAGTACCCGGATGCGGTCGGTGCCGACTTTTACGTAATACACCCCTTTCGTTGCTGCAAACTGCTGCGAATTGCCTCCGGTGAAGAACGGGTCTGCTTGATTTCCGAGGGTGAATAGTCCTGTCAGCAGTAGGCTGGTCTGGGCGAGTAGTATGGCGTGGATTTGGGCAGTGGGGCGGGTCAGTGCGACGGGGATGTTTGATGCCCCCCTTTTGTAGGTGACCGTGTAATGAAAAGTTGACTTGAGAAAATCGAGCCAGCGAATCTGTCGTGGGTTGAGATTGGGCTGTGCGCGGAGGTACTGTAGTGATTTGTGATCTGTCCGTACTGTCACGTCTGCTCCGGTCAAGTAACATCACCAGACTTCGAAGGCGTGCACGATCGCGAGCATTTGGCGGTCGTGTATCGGGTACTTTTTTTCGGGCGGGTGCAGCTTCCGTGATTCGTACGCGATGGGCTGTAGGTCGTTGCCGATGGCGATGTCGCTTGCGTCCGTAATGACTTTGAACGGGCGATGGGGGTCGGCAATGCGCAGGATGGGCGGTGTGCAGAGAACAGTTTTAAGGGCAGAGAAGGCAGCATGCTCTTTCTCCCCCCACGTAAACTCTACCCCCTTCCGCAGTAGGTTAGTCAGCGGGGCAGTCAATCGTGCCATGTCGGGGACGAACCGACGGACGTAATTAACGAACCCTAAAAGACTCTACAGTTCCGTGAGATTAGCCGGGGGACGCCATGCTTTGACCGTATCCAGCTTCTTAGGGTCAATTTCGACCCCAGCCTCCGAAATCAGGTGCCCCATGAATTCTAACCGGTCCTGAAAAAACTCATACTTCGAGCCCTTGGTCAGTAGGCGGTTGTCATCTAAAATCTTAAATACTGCTTCTAAGTTCGCTAAGTGCTGCTGCTTCTCCCGGCTGTAAACTAGTATGTCGTCGAGGTAGACGATGACGCACTTATCCAAAGGGGTCTAAACACCTCGTTCATGGTCATCTGGAAGGTTGCGGGGGCGTTGGTCAGTCCGAAAGGCATAACGGTGAACTCGAAGGATCCGTACCTAGTACGAAAAGTTGTCTTGGCGCAGTCTGACGGTTCGACACTGATGGTAACCCCCCCCCGTAAGTCAATCTTCGAAAAGACTCGGGCTGTTCGCAGTTGATCGATCAGTTCGTCGGCGCGGGGGATTAGGTAGCGCGATTTGATGGTTACGCGGTTTAGTGCTCTGTAGTCAATACACAAGCGAAATCCTCTGTCTTTTCTCGGTGTGAATAGTATCGGTGCAGCGAATGGTGACGAGCTCGGTCGAATGAACTGCTTCTCTAACAGGTAATCTAACTGCTTCCTTAGTTCGTCAAGCTCGAGCTGTGTCAGTCGGAACTGTCGTTGTACGGTTGGCTGTGCACCCAGTTCTAACTCGATTCGGTGATCATGTGCTCGATAAGGTGGCAGTCCCTGCGGTAAGTCATCCAGAAAAATCCCCGGGTAGCGTTTTAACAGGTCCTGCTAGGAGTTTCTGAAAATCACTTGACGCCTCTGTGACTCCCACTACTGCTATATCTACTGCGTACATGTCAGCTCCAGCGGCGACACCCCGTTTCATCGTGATGGCATTGACGTGGACCGTTGAAGACTCGGGCGACTGCCAGCGAGGTAATTCGACCCAGTTACCGCTACTTCGCACAGTGCAGCTACCCGTCGTCCAGTCAATTCGCGGGTTGTAGCGTCGCAGCCAATCACGTCCCAGTAAAATATCGTGCCCATCCAGTGTCGTCGCGAGCATTTCCTGTGTAAACCCGAAGTTACCCCCTGCGGCCCACGCGCCGCCTTTGCAGCCCGCGCGCTGCCCCTTCTGCCCGCGCGTCGTCCCCTGCAGCCCGCGCGCCGCCCTTTGCAGCCCCATGATCCATGCGGCTGCTCCCCATTTTCTGTGGCCGTTTGTGGTCCGATACGCTGCGCATCAGCTCAACCTCTGGCCCTGTGTCTCCTTGCCGGAGACCTCGCCTACACTGCGTTGCGTCAGTGTTCCGGGTCTGGGGCGCTCGTGCCTTTGTCCGCGATACCTCCGCGGACAAGCTCTCCTCCCGCGCCATTCCCTGTGTCTTCCTTGGCTTCCCCCCTGACGCGCCTGGCTGGCAGTTTTACCACCCCACCTTGCGCCGTGTTCTGTCCTCTCAGGACGTCACCTTTGACGAGTCAGTTCTCTTTTACCATCTCTTCCCCTACCGCACTGCCCCTCTCCCCCCCCCCCCCCCGCCACTCTTCCTCGCTCCAGGTCCCCCTCAGGGTCCTGCTCCTTCAGGTGTGTCTCAGGTAGACCCACTCCCCTTGGCTGAGCCTGTCGAGGTCACTAGCAACTCTGGTACTGCTGGGAGTGGTGCTTCTCGGGGTGCTGCGTCTAGGGGTGCTTAGCCTGCGGTTGCGGAGCCTGGGGGTACTGAGTCTGAGCGTGAGGAGCCTGGGGTGCTGAGCCTGGGGGTGCGGAGCCTTGGGGTGCTGAGCCTGGGGGTGCTGAGTCTGAGGGTGCGGAGCCTGGGGGTGCTG